ACAACAAAACAAAAGTTATTCCAATCTCAAACCAGTTACATATGTCAAAATAAAACTAATTCAAAATTAAAATCGATTACAACAATGGTTATATATAAAAATGCTTACCATTAGTATTGATAGGTTTCAAGAGAAAATAAGACAACATAGACATCTCTGGAGGAACAAATTGTTCTCGATAAGTAGGCTTATCTTCTTTCATATTTGTTGAGGTACTACTGTGGCTGAATGTGCCAAGTAGTTTCATGTTGAGTTTAACACGTTGTTTGGTGATGGAAGTGACTGTGTTCCAAACACCACTTTCATCGGTTCTATCCTCAGAACCGTTAGATTGCGATTGATTCGGAGTCGTAGTTTCGTTGCGTAAAGTTGCTTTTCTCAATAACCTTTTCATTCCACCTCCGAATATGGTCGACCACGTTTCTGTCGAAAATTTTTGCCCAACAAGTCTATATAGCAAGCGACAGTCACAAGTGGCCATGGAATATATTAAGAGCGACATAAAGGTAGCAATAAATGACTCAAGTAGTAAAACGTTTAATTTTGGAATGTCTTCATCTTTCTCTCGTGCTAACAATGCTCTTAAATTTGTAACCCCAGGCCACTTCGCCGGGGAAGTACAAACATCTGTTGACTCATCGCACGAATATTTTCTTCTCTTATTATATGCATTGCTATTGCCAATTAAATGTGAACATTCGAAAAGTGAATTCAATTTAGCAATGTTTTCAATACCAGGGCTTTGAAATCCATTTAATGTTGAGTTGCGATGAACAACAAAACTTTCCGAGTCACATAAAGATTGATAAATACAAGAGGATAGTGCAATTGATAAATCTCTGAGAATGAAGATTTCGCAAAAAGAGTTCGCTGCAACTCCAGGTAACGGTGAAATTTTAATAATAGTCTGAAGCATATCCACCGTTTGAGACTGAAAAGATAAAGGATACAAATTTATTTATTATAATCGAAGCCTAGTGATTTATTGTTCTACTTTTAACATAACTGACATATAACTATCCTATCTTTTTTACCCCATCAAAATGGCACATCAAGTGCTAATTGAGCCCATTAGGGCTGCAATTCACTTCTACCTACACCATAGAAAATGTGACGCTTAATTTTTACAAATATATAAAATGTGTATAAACATAAATATGTTCATATAAATACTCGTAGTAATACTGGTGGTAAAACAAAAAAAAAGTTAAAAATACAAACTACGAATTCAATAATATTTAAGAGTAATTTTAGCTATTCCAATTTGGTATACAAGGACCTAATTCATAGGGTAATTCCTGCGCTGTATTTTTTGGGTGCTAATGATGTTTACTAACTCATTCAATGTCATTTTTCGGCCGTTATACACAAACCTTTCCAATTTTTTCTGACATTACTACTTCTTGTGACCTTCACCTGCCTAAGGTTCATCACTACCCCGAATATTAAAAAAAAATTAACTCAAATAAGTATTTGTTCTTATTTTAAACTTAAGCATATGTTTCAAACTTATTTCAATTACAAATTATTTTTTAACTCAAGTTAGAAATTTCCCACATATACAGTAACCCGCTTTGATACTGAAAATTGCAGAATGCAATGAAGAAAAACGCAACAATTTCATATTTGATATCAATTTCAATAGTTCATAGTATAAATACCTGCAAATATTTAATAGGATCAGCGCTGACAGTTTTATTACCCGCCACGCATGCACTTAATAACGGCAAAGTTGTTGGAAATGGAAGTGGGCTTAATAGTTGTTGCTGCGTTTTCTCTTGTTGTAGTTCTTGTAAAAGGAGTACTAATTCCATTCTGACTGAAGCAAGACCACCACCACTAGCGCCATGAAGTGAACAATAACTCAGCAACGTTCGTAAAAGTGTTTCGTTACCTTGAGGATGAAACGAGTGTTAAACAGTCGCGCTTATACAGAACAAACTTTTATAATACATATAATGTTATTTCTAACAAAATATATTAAAATAATGACATGCACATACATACACACATACATATGTAGATTAGGATAAAAAATAATTCTTTTCCGAATGATAAAATTTGATTTCATCAAATTAGACATAACAGMTAAAAAATTATTAGTAATTAGGTATTCTTAGCATTATTCAGTTTGCAAAAAAAAAAAAAATATTCATACGGTTTTTGCAAATTTCTAGCTTTAACAAGTAAGGAAGGGCGATGTTGGGTGTAGCCGATTACTCACAAATTTAAAAGATTTAAGACGGGAAATGTTTTCAAGAGTTAAAACAGTGTTTTTAAGAGTTAAGAGGTAAAACTTTATATTAAAAAATTTTGCAAATGTTTTCAGTACTCGTTATTGCACTAAATTATGAATGGATAACAATCATGTTTGGTATCATATTAACCCTTTACACTCGAGAGGTGACTATCGCTCACCACTTGCTTGTAACTCGCATTTAACAATGCATTTGTAAAAATGCATTTAATATTAAAATATACAAGTTTTATGGATTACTTTATGTATGTAATCATTTTAAGTTAGATATTAAGTTAGAGGTAAAAAATTACCCAAATTCGCTACGAAACGCTTCGAGTTCCTGGTGCGCCACGCGAAAAAGGTCCCGATTGCGAAGTTTTAATTTATTTACATATATTATAGTAACGAAAGTCGCTACTTTCACCCCAGAATACTGAAAAAACATGTCAGTTAACATACACACATTTCATATCCACCAGCATGGGTTCCGCTGCAGCTAAAATTTCATAGTATTATGTATTACTATTTTCATTCACATTCAGCCAGCGAAACCAAAAAATCCACAGCAAGTGTTTTTTAGAAATTCATTGTAAACGGTTTTGAGTATTGCCTGAATTCCCATATAGCGGGTATACGGCTAAATAGAGAAACTTTCCAGACATTTTATTAATTTCAAAGTATTCCATTTATAATTAGCTCTTGCAACTTGTTTTCTTTTAAATAAAGAAAAGAAGCTTAGAGATCGTCTAAGTGTGACCCTCAGAAAAATCACTGATTAACTAATAGGCCCGATTTTGTTATAAATAAATACATTTATTACGAATACAAAATAATTTTTTTATGTTTATATATTGGGTGTATAATAGTTAAATAAACTGTTGAAATGACACCAAAAAAAGTTCCTGTACGAGGTCTACGATTGCGCCCGAAATTTCGATCTAAAACAAAATTTTCAAAAATATCTGTAGGAAAGTCACTATCGCACTATGGAAGCTGTTTTTGATTTTTTGAAATTTGACAAAATGGCGGCGGTTTGAACAAAAAGTATCGAATTTGGCCCTTTTTTCGACAGTTTTTCGTAAAAAAAAGAAGGAAGATTTAAAAAAAAAAGAAGGAAGATTTAAAAAAAAAAGCTTCCATAGCGCAATAGACATTCTCTATCATACATAGAGTAATGTTTTAAAAATGTTCTTTCCAAATTGGAACTAGACATCTTGAAAAATCTTCCTTTGAAAGTGGAAACCGTTTTGAAAAACAACATTCTGAGAAAAACACGTTTAAAGATTGGAGTCGTTCTGTTCCCTTTCTATAATAAACGCTGTAGTGACCGTAATAATTTGAATTTCGATTTAAAATTTTTTTTCAATATTATTTTATTTACTGCTGGATCTGCTTTTTTAAGCCTAGCAATAAATTATAAAATCTCAAATCTATTTAAAAAGTAGCTGTTTGGAAATACGTTGCTCTTTAATACGCAGGCATACATATCTCTTCTTTTAACGCGTGTTTGATCGCAGGAATGTACCAAAGCATTAGCCAAAGGGTTTAGATATATATTTAACTCTGCTATCTTGTACTTCTTTCTTCACCAAGGTCTTATGGATATTTTCGTTACGCATGTACTATGATGAACACGTAATTGTTCGAGGGATTTTCGATTGTCCTTTTAGGTCGTACCTCACACTTGAATGCCATACATCCAAATCGGCTTTATGACCGCATTATATAAAAGAAGCTCTAATCTTCAAACATGTTATTTTACTAGAGATGTGTTTTCTCCACGTGAGCCTTCTATGTAGGTGAACACCAAGATATATTACTTCGTTCAATTATGGTACTAAAATATTGTTTATATTTACTGCCGGGCACATTTTTGATCTAAGCGAAAATGTAACATGCTTACATTTCTGTTCATTCACATTTATACACCAGTTCGCTAGCCATTATTCGACAGAACTTAAATGCTTCGCTAGTATTCTTGATGCTAAAAATAGTTGAAGTTAATACATTGTTAGCTGTTGGAAGGTCTGCTGTATATATGATGTATAGAGTATTGCCTAAACCGCTGCCCTGTGGTACACCAGCCCTTATCTGTCTTTCATCAGATATGAAATCTCCTACTTTCAATACAAATTGTCTATTATTTAAATATTTACTTGCTCTATTGTGCCATGTTTCGCACGAAATCCGAATTGATGCATTGGTACTATATTGTATTATTTTCGTGGAGGAAAGGAGACATCTTTGATAGTAATACTTTTTCAAATACTTTTGAAAGACAGGGTAGAAGACTGATTGGTCTGTATGAAGACGGCTGTGTTAAGTCTTTCCAAGGTTTATGTATAAAGATCATCTGCGACTTTTTCCAAGAAATTGGATAGTATCCTAAACTAAGAATTGCATTGGAGAGCAATTAGCATTTTTGGGGAAATCCAACATTGTCCATGGCGACGATGGATTAAGTTCTTTGATGATACCAATAATTTCAGAAGGTGAAGTCTTAAGAGACTCAAGCGACTCTTTAGCTGTGTTGGGTAAGATTGACAGCTTAAATTTGTTCTTTGGCAAATTGGGTTAAAATATCTTTTCTAGGTGATTTGCAAAGCAATTAGCCTTTTCCTCGTCACTTTGAGCCCAATTTCTACCCAAGTCGCGAATAGGCATGTTGGAGTCAGTTAGTGGCTTCATGGACTTTTGGGCTTTCCAAAGGGGATTTTGCTTGTTTGAATTTGGACACAGCTTCTTTATATACATTTTGGTGTTCAATTCTTCCTCACGTTTAAGCGCCTTTTTTTAATTTACGTACAGCAGATTTTAATTGAAGCTGAGTGGAAGGGGAACGATTTATCTGCCATTCACGCCTTGCAAGCCTCTTTTCATTTACAAGCTTTTCTATTTCTGTGTTAGTGATTTTTCTGGGACCAAGCGGCTTATAGTTTTGTTTGGTGTTGCTAAAACAGCTGCGCTGGTTATTATATCATTAACTTCTCTTATGTTTTCTTCAATATCTCTTCCTATATTTATTTTGTACTCAATATTATAAGAAGTTAGACCCACTTTTGGATTAACGAATATAGGTTGTTCACATAAGTTTATTAGTACAGGAGAGTGATCAGAAGATAGATCAGTACAGTATCAGCTGTTATGTGCGATTTATCTATATTTTTAATTACAGCAAAATCAATTACATCTGGTATTTTCTTATGATCACTAGGCCAATATGTCGGCTTACCAGGAGATATTATTTCAAGGTTATTGTGCCTATTTATAATAGTGTGATACAGTTGTTGTCCTTTCGGATTAATTAGTAGTGAGCCCCAATACGTGTGTTTTGCATTGTAATCTCCACCTGCTAGAAATTTATGGTCTAGTGTTCCAAAAAAAATCTTTAAATTGGATGTGTCATTTTAAACTGAGGTGGGCAGTATGTGACCGTCAGGTTCAAGTCCTCGCAGCGATTTTTATAGTTATTGTTGTAGCTTGTAATAGCGCTGTGGCATAAAATTCTAATGCGTGGTGATTTAACCGTTTTCTAACTAACACTGCTGCTCCTCCATGCGCCTTTCCATTTGGGTGATTTGTAAGATACAATATTCTAAATCCCGGTATAAAGAAATTGACAAAAGCATTACATCATTATTATTTTCATCCAGAAATCTAATAAGTTCCATTTCATAAATAAATGTTCAATACATTCATTTTTTACTTTAAAAAGTTTGCAACATTTGGTTTTGTGATTTGATTATCTCTTGAATCATATTTTGCATTGAAGACATGAATTGTGTGACATTGGCTAAGATTTAAAATCATACTTTCAACGCTTCCATTTGGTAGGTTTTGGGGCAATTACATTTGTGCAGTATTGCCTTTCACCACCTTTGCATAGCTCCCTTGTGTAGCACTGCCTTTAAGATTTACTGGTTTTGAAATATGGACGGGGATTTTAATATTTTCATTGGGAGGAATATTCAGCATTTGGTTACGACATGCTTGAATGCCCCGTGAGAACTTCGATTTCAAATCTTTATATACAGGGCAACCCTTGTAGTTAGCAGTGTGATTTCCTCCACAATTGCTAAATTTTTTTTTAAATCCTCTTTTTTAGAGTACATTTAGAAGTAGGATGTAGATCACATTCGTGTGTCCATACTCTTGGCAGTTTGTACATTGTACTGGATCATTTTTCCTAAGTGGTTCCTCAACGGTGATTCTACGATGGAGCAGATATTTTAAATTGTAAATCGGGTGTATTTAATTTTTCTTTAGTTGGTTACAATTTTGCATCAGTCCTATTTTGAACATTGGTTGTGGGACTTTGTTCCTGTTAAAAATATTTACTACTGATTTAAATGCTAAAACCACCTTCTTGCAGTGCTTCTTTCATATCGATAGAGTCTATCGAAAACTCTATACCTTTTATGACAACAACTAGGTCTTTTGAGCTCTTCAGTTGGTATGAGTAGTAATACTTGTTATTGTTTCACAAGTATTTTACAATATCCATGAAACTTTTCAGTGTACAATATGAAAATTGTTTGTGCATCGAAACCATTAACTTAAGAACATATTTTTAGTATTGACCGCTGACTTTAAAGAACTTGCTTGCTGGTACCTGCTTAGTTGTGGTGTGGTCACGTTTGTTGCTGGAGGTTGTTTACTGCCGTTCTCTGCTGCTTTTGTATCTTAAAAACTGAGGGACTAGTTCTTATATATACAGACAGACGGACATGGCTAAATCGACTCAGCTCGACATACTGATCATTTATATATATGTATTCTTTATAGGGTCTCCGACCCTTCCTTCTGGGTGTTACAAACTTCGTGACAAACTTAATATACCCTGTTCAGGGTATAAAAAGTAAACATAAGCCATAACTTCTTACGCTGAATGCTTTTTAGAGCGAGTAGATTTTAGTATATAATCGCATATGCGGAACTTTGTAGAGAGACTAAGTGTCTTCCCCCGGTTTAGAGCTATGGCTTTTTAAGGCCAAGTTTAAAAAATTTGAATGATCGATTATATGGGAGATATGTGATAAAGTTTTCCGATCTAGCCGATTCCGGCAAGCGAAAAATATAATATCAAACTGCATCTTCGGACACTGAGAACAAATTTCTATGATACCTTAAAAACTTTGCCTTAAAAATACAGGATTTTTGATTATATCTCTATATAACTATAACATTATTTTTATAAAATCTTAGTATGAAATATTAAAAAAAGAAAAACTTGGAAAAATAATATCACAGAAATAAATACATATTTTAATAAACTAAAAAATTTATTTACCTTTAAGCCATCGCTTTCGTTTAGCAGCTCTAAAAACTTTTGCTTCAAAATCATATTTTTCTTGCATCAAAATTTCATGAAGGGTTGGCTTGTCTGATAACACAAAAGAGGTAGAGTTTGGATCTCTTTCCTGTAAAGTATAAAAAGTCACACTTAATTAGTGTTTATAAGAGGATTTCTATAAATATTATTCTCAAAAAAAAAAAAAAAACACGATTTTCAAATGATCATTCGATTTCGTAGAAGCCCTAGGAAATAATAGCCTTATATGTAACTCATCACTCATATCTGACTCTAAAAGGGCTTTGAAATTTTTCCCCAAAAATAATTAATATTTAACCTTGAAAATTGTAACTATATTTAAAAGCGAAAAGTTTACAACATACTTAATACATTATAGTATTCAGTAAGTAGCAAAATTAAAGAAGAAACAAACTTACATTCAATATTACATCAGAAATTTGCGTAGTAGACTCCAATTCAAGGGTATCATAATTGCAGTAATTGCAAAGTTGTTTTAGTGCATCAACTTCTTTCTCTAACCAGATGTAAAGCTGATAGCGTAATTGACCACCATCAACTTCAAATCCAGTAGCTAACGTCGAAAGTTCTTCCATTAATATTTTTAAGCATGCTACAAATTTAAGTTGCTGTGCCATAATATCTATTTTCACATCTTTTGATGTCTCTAACTGGTTTTTTTGTGGAGCGTTGGTTATTGTTATTGGAGTTTTGTTTAGAACAGACTTATCAACTTCCGTATCTTCGGGATAGTCATCATCGTCCCACTTTATTTCAAATGCATCTTCTTTTTGTAAGGACGAAACTGGAACACCCCAATCCATATCATATTTTGTGGCAGAATCAACCACTGGTTCACTCCAATCAATTATACCAGAAGTTATTTGGTCTTCCTTATAAATTTTAGTACTAGTCTCTTCGATAACATTATTTGAATCCATAATTTTCATTGGCAATTTGTTTAGCACTTCTAAAGCTAATGCTGGGCAACCAGCCTTAAAGTGTGCATGGGCCGTTGTAAAATAAAGCTGTCTCTCAATAGGCGTTATTGAATCTTCTAATTGAATTTGTTTATCATTCGATTTTGTTTTTTGATTATCTCCAGAATAACTAAATCCTGATAATACTACATTTGCACATTTCTTCTCTTGTGCAGACAGCGCTAAGCTTTGCCGGACAAGCAATGGATGTGTACGTAAATATATGTAGAAGTTAAAAACATTAGGATTTGTTGCAGAATTTTCAGCTTTTAACATGTCTTCATCTTTGAATGCGACATGATTAATACCAACTCCGTTTAACAATAGTGTATGCAAACTGTCTTGGTATCTCTTTAAAATCCAATAAGTAATCGACCGAAGAAAAGGATCTGGGTGAGCTTTACTTATATCAAATACAGTGTTATCATCGGCAATTCCAAGAACATGTTCTGAGAGTAAACTTCGATAAGTTGATTTGTATGATATTTCAATGTCATCTTCAAATAATCTCGCTATTACTAAAGCAAGCTGAAAGTCTTCTAATTTATTTATGCAAACTTCTATGGCATCATTTAAAGAATTTGCAAGAAGGAAAAATGCAACTGCATGCTCAAAGCGTTGTTTTCCTAAAAGAACAAAAGCATTCTTCAGGGCTGCCTTCCTCCACCGGTCTTCAGAAAAATTATTTGAAAAGAAAGCGGTCATTTTTTCGTCTCGTTTTGATCTAAAAAGACCCCAAACAATCGATTTTTTCTTCATAGCTAAATAAAATATAGCCGCATCTAATGGATCTTGTTTCATTTGATAAGCACTCTTTGCTAGTTTTTCAACGCAACAACGTAAAGTGTTTACATTTTTCAACCAATATCCCACGCCGAGATCTTTCAGTGTAGACCACCTTAGATCTCCTTTTGAATAAGAAGGAATAAGATTTAGAAGCTCCTCTTCACTTTCAGAATGAAAAGCCCACACTATATTTGAAGTTCCAATGCCTTGCTTTTGAAACAGTGTCCTTTGGTTTAGTGGTAAACAGCGTAAAAGGTACGTAAAATGTTTCATAGCAAGTAAAAACCGAAGACCACAATCATCTAAAGATTCGGATATTGCATTCCTTGTAATTTCTTTACCAACATTTTTACCATGATCGGAAGAAAATTTTTCGCTGAAGTCGCTGTTGAAATTTGCAACGGTATCAGCCAGAGCTAATAGATGCATCTGGTCTAGAGAAGACAATCCTGGTAAATGCGTATGAGTAAGCAGACGCGACAACAACTGCCCTTGACGAGAACCGAAATGTGATATACTTAATTTTTCTGGCATGGATAACTTTCTTTCGAATTTACAATGGTCTCCTTCATTCTCAAGAAGATCATCTAAATTGTCCTCCGACTTGTTCATCTCAAAAAGTTCATTATAGTCTTTACCATTTTCCAAAGCGTTCATTCCCTGCCCTGGAAATTCATTATCTGCGTTTAGCAGGACCCAAAGCGGTAATGGAGGTATTGATGTGATTTCAGTATAGTCGAGCATCAATTCTTCGGGAACCTGCAAAAATACGTTAGTGAAAAATAATTAGGATGGTTAAAAAATATACAGAATATCATTGACAATTTAAATTAATCATAAACCTCATTAGATTGGTAATGTTAAAATTTTATTTATATTTACTACAAACAAGTATGTAAGGATTAGAAAACAAAACAAATTTTAATAATCGAAAATCGCTTTATTATTTTTCAGGATATTCTCGATCAGATCTGTATACTTGTGCATGCGTTGGCACCAGTTTCGAAGCACTTTTGCCACTCTGATTGAGGTATCTCCAAAACTGTCATCTTGATGTTTTAAGTGGTCAAGAATGCAATTGTTTCGTTCGATCTTTAAGAGTGGTCATTATCGTGGTGCTTGGTTTCGTGGCGATATGTCCAGTTGTTCCAAAAAATAATACACGCAACCATTTGCTTGGAAGTACTCATGAACTTTTGTAGGATTCGGCTCATCTTGCAGGAAATTGTGTGTGCTCTATCACATATCAAATATCCATGCAATATTGAATGTATGCTGGTCTCTTTCGCACGAAATGACGATCCGTCAATATTAGTTTGCGCAAAGCATTAATAGTTTCCGGAACTACAACTGATTTTTGACGACCTTCACGAAATCCATTTTGGAGTGATCTACGACTTCGATTGAATCCACTATACTATCACTAAACATGGGTCTTTGATAAAGCTTCATTGCCAAAAATTTAATTAAGTTCATCAATGCACTGTTGCTGAATTATTTCACGTCGAAAGTTGTAAAACATGGTCGGGCGAAAACGTTCACGATTTAATTTCTTTTTTTTTTTTTTGTTTTTGGTCGAGATGAATATTTGAAGTTAATGTAAACAGTACAAGTAGCGCTCGTATGTCAAAGCGTTCTGAGTATGTATTGTATAACATTAAAAATGTCAAACTTTACGACCAAATTGAAATAAACAAAAAGAAATAATGGCGTTAAAAAGCAGGAATAGTCAAGGAGGATGGAGTCATGTGTAGAAGTTCACGCAAGTGAGGAAAGTTCTCTGATCGCCATTTACTTGGGAGTGGCYAGAAACGATTATTTTACATATGGCTCAAGCAGCTCACGACTTTGGTTTTAGACCAAGACCAAGTATCCTCTGGGTAGCCTAAGAACAATCGTTCGAAGGCGGGCTAAAGTGAGAAGGCGAAATCCCCTACACAGGTTTGTGCTGGGCTTGGGACTCGTCACGCAAAGAACGCCCCCAATGAAAGATTACCAAGTGCTGCTGCCCAGCCGGTTGATGTCCTCGTTAGAGTGAAGGCTGACATCACCGCGGTCCAAGAAATGCGTTGGACGAGACAAAGACGGAGGCAAGTAGGTCCTTGTGACATTTACTACAGTGGCCATATAAAAGAGCGCAAGTTTGGTGTGGGATTCGTGGTGGGAGAGAGACTCCGTGGCCGAGTACTATCATTCACTCTGGTGGATGAACGTCTAGCCACAATCCGCATCATAACGATGTTCTGATCGCTGATTTGCGCCCACATCCCGACGGAAGAGAAGGACGATGTAACCAAATATGCCTTCGCTTGGAGCGCACCTATGAGAACTGCCCCCGCCACGATGTCAAAATCGTGCTTGCTGACTTTAACGCCAAGGTGGGCAAAGAAGGTATCTTTGGTACTACGGTCGGTAAACGATGAAACACGATGAAACATCCATAAATGGGTTGAGGCTAGATTCCAGCATAAGAAAATTCATCAAGCCACCTGGCTGTCTCCGGTTCAAAAAACCACCAACCAGATAGATCCTGTTTTGATAGAAGGAAGACACGCCTCCAGTGTTTTAGAAGTGCGTGCGCTCCGAAGTTCTAACATTGACTCGGACCACTACCTTGTTGCAGCCAAGATTCGCACCCGCCTCCGTGCAGCAAAAAACACAAGTCAATAAACATAAGGAAGGTTCGACGTCGAGAAGCTGCAATCACAACAGACAGCCGAACGATTTTCTACTCGGCTTGCACTCGGCTCTCAGAGGCCACTCATCAACAACTCGGTATAAGAGTACTGTAGGACGGCGTTTCAAACTCCTTACGTACAGCTGCAACCGTAACCATTTGTTTTCGGAAAATGCAAAATTCTGAGAGGCAGTGAAAGTACAACGCCAGAAGAAGGCGAACCCGATTCCCCAATCGACGACGATGAAGCAGACGTTCCATTGACCGACCATTAAGAAGTTCGAATAGCAGTTACCCGCCTGAAGAACAAAAAAGGCGGCGGGTGCCGATGGATTTCCGGCTGAGCTATTCAAACACGGCGGCGATGAACTGATAAGGAGCATGCATCAGCTTCTTTGTAAAATATGGTCGGACGAAAGCTTGACCAACGATTGGAATTTAAGTGTGCTATGCCCAATAGGGTGGGTCGATTCCGGACTTTTTTCGATTCAGGATTTCTAATAGTGCGGAAAAGTTGCCTTAGTACTTCCTGATTCCAATGCAACTTTTTGTTTTGAGATCCCCAACTCCGGCCTTGAAATTTCGGAAATTCGGCTAAAATCGTGAAATTGTCTACCTAGCGACTGAAATACGCATCTC